TTTATTTAAGAATTTCCAATAAGAAAATGTCAAAAATTGCAGATTAATAAAAAGTCAAGATAATTTTCCAATATTATTTAAAATAATAATGAAAAATACAGATTATAAATAATTTGAAGACAGAATAAGAAATTTATTACATTCGATAATGACGCAAATCCAGAAACAAAGTTTCTCTTCGGGGAGAATTAAATGAGGCAATCGTTGAGGGAATATTCATCCCCCCCCGTAGAGTTTCTTACTTATTGAAAAATATTAGCGAAGTTGACTGGTTCGATGAATCTTGCCAGATTAATCGGGGAACAAACGCTCGGCCACCACCCCCTCGTCAAACTCACGTAACGCACAGTTATATCACGCCAGCGGCCTGCGACTGACAAGCTTGAATTTAACAGACGTGCAGAAATCAGCCACGTTTATTGTTTGTACATATTGCCGTACGATAACTTCTATTCACAGACAGCTAACGGGAGAGAATCTCGTTCTGAAATATCTTTATTTCCTGTAGCCCATGAAGTGTAATATTTCTTATCTGTCCTTCCTTTGGAATTGACAATTTTATTTCATCGATCACCGTTTTACAAATTAATTCTGGATTTCATTAGTGTTATATAACACGAATGAGATACGGTCTATTAAAATTTCATATGAAATTGACAATGACGCATATTAATATATTGCTAAAAAAGGCGATAAAGATGACATTGTCTTTAAAAAATTGGCCTCTCAAATCTTCGATTCCGTAAAAGTTATAACGGTTGCGTCCACAAGCAAAGGAGTTCATGACACTCTTGTTAATAGCGCCGCGATTATGGTAGTCAGTGGTGTGTAATGGTGAGCAGAATTTTTTTTTCAGCTTCCCTTTTAGCGCGGCACGGGTGCACAGTAATTTCGTAATAATAAAAAGCGTGCCGCGGCTCGCTTTACCTACGCGCTGTGCTGCCTGCTGAGCGGCTTAATAGGATCCTCCAACTTCGTCAAGCCTTTTGCATCTCTCCCGTTCTTTGTCCTCGTTTATCCCGATCCCGAGAGCTTCTTTCCCTCGCCTCGTGCTCGCTCTCTCACTTTTTCTACCGTTTACCCTGCCGGAGGAGAAGATAAACGTTGTTCCGCCGCGCCGCGCAGGTCGCGTCCCCGGGAAATTTTTCTTGTTCGCGCGTGTAACACGCGCGCTTTCCCTTTTGTCTTTTTAATTCTTCAGTCCGGTTATTTTCACAAGCCCCTTTCCGCTTCTCTTCCTTTTGCCCGTGTAACATCACTTTATGACTTTTTAATATCTTTTTTAATATGTAGTTGGAGATTGTGCATTTTCTGGCAGCATTATGTGTTAGAAATTCATTCTAAACTTTGAATAAAAAGGTTTACGTTTGTGCTGTCTGAAAAATTCACAGCTTAAAGTTGGAGCAATCAATTCATGACTCGTCCATTCCAGTCCTTTCATTGACATAAAGAGAAAACAATGTTCTTCTGTCGCAATTCCAAGCAAATTACAATCGTTAATTCTCCTCTCGCTCGATAGAGGCTTCTAACCAGCCCGTCCGAACCCTTCCCAGCGTGTCTGCGTTTCTACCGTGCAGTTTCACACCGGGAGAGATAAACGCCCTTTTACAGATCGTTTCACTCTCATTTGCGTGAAGCTCACCGTGGGAGGTCTGCCTCCCTTTTTCACTTTGCGTCTTCCGCTTTTTCTATCCCTATCTCTGCCTCTCGCCCGTCGTTATGCATGACACGATTCGCGCGGTCTTTTCCTCTGCCCGTCAACCGCTGTGAATTCCTCGTCAGACGCGTACGTTCATCCCTTGGACTTTGGACGGACGCGAGAAAGGGCGAAACTGGCAACGGGATGAGCGCGCGGATTTTTGCGTACGAGGAACGGTCGCATGTTGCATACGTTTATTTCCCCCAATTAACCCTTCGGGGCTTGGCAACGGCCACGCGACCGCGCTAACGACCGCGGTGTTTATGGGGCCTGACGTAGCTTGGCCTACCAAGGCGAACCACACCGCACTGCATGCGGCGATGTCGCCGCAGCGCGTTCCACGTTTCGCCGCTTTGCAAACGCGACTCTCATTGCACGCGATAATGATGATTCTGATATTACTTACTTAGTATGACAAGTAAAACAGTGACCTCATTTTCTGTTAGGATACGCTTTTTGCAATCTAGTAAAATTTATGTAGAATAATAACTAATCGAACGTTGTTTTAATCAAATTTCAAATAATTTAGGAGGGAAGAAGAAAAGATTTTAATGCAAATACAAAAATATATGCACGCTGCCTTTGGTTATTATCAGTCCAGTAAAACGAATCGATTAAAAATCCGCATCGTTCGAACGGACTCTAACGAGATAAAACAATGTTCACCATGAAACGCATTCACATTACTCACAGAACAGTAACATCAAGGGAGACATTTAGACAAAGAAAGATTCATAACTGATTTTAATCAAACTTCAACGACTTCTACATATATCTGTCGTTGCAAAAAAAAAATACCAGCAAGTTGGATTACTAATGGAATCGTAAAAGTTTGCGTAAAATCTTTGTCCTCGTCGCGGAACGTAACTCTCGATGCTGAGCAATCTAATTTCTCGTGGAAACGGTCGACGTTCCATAGAAACGTCGTCGTTCCCGGTCGCCAAGGGAACAGAGATCCAATTGGAAGTATTTCTTCTTACGACGTCGAGTTCGGCAATAAGAAAGTTGTTGTACTCCGCGGAAACAAGTTTCCACCGGGACGTCGCGTCGTCGACGCCTATCGCGATCCAATACTACGAGGGAAAAAGGGAAAACGAGAGGAGGGACAATGATGAAAAAAAAAAAAGGGAGAAATGCTCTTTTGCCGTGGCAGGTGCGCCAGTACGCTAGTTGAGAGGCATTAAGAGTTGAATCGAACGGTGCCGGTGAAGCGAACCTCGCCACCCCGTGCGCGCCGCCTCGCCCCGGCTTTATCCAGTTATTTATGTCGCGAACATAAAGGACCCTCGCTCGAATTGCGCTCTTCCCGGGGGAAGAGGAGACACGAGCGTTGATTGATTCCCACAATGCGGGTTTACCTGTGGAAACGGGTAATCTGATGTATCGATAACTTGTGGCCCGGGAACCACACCGCCTATTGTCTTTTAGACGTTCTTCTTCTTAGTTAAGGTGGCAAGCTTTTCATATGATATTTTTTTCAAATAGTGTCAGTAGTGAATTTATAATTGTCCAGAATTCCACGTCGCGGTTTCACTTACGAGTTTTACCTCCATTGTTTCTCAAGTCACTACATGGAAGTACAGAGACTATAAAAAGTATTTTTTTCTCAGATCTTTTTTAAGAAATTGTTTATAAAACATTGAGTTTACCTGAAGCAGCCTGTAGACTTAAATAAATAAGACTGTTCTTAAGAAATTACACTTTCTTTACATTCAATTGCACGAATGGATTTTATAGGAAGAATCAAGAAGAAAATGTTAATTATCTATTATGCTATACTTCGTACGCAACGTTCTTTATTTTTAACAAACATTTTGGATAAAAATATTCTTCATCATTTTTCCTGTAGAATCCATTCATGCAATCGTATGTTGAGAAACGTAATTTTTTAAATAATTTGCTTAAACGAACACGTAAACATCCCCATGAGTCAATCAGGCATGAAAGATATACGTGCAAAATTTCAACTCAATCCGTGCAGTACTTTTTGCGTGATTGAATGATAATCTAGACTCTCGCATTTATACCTAACATATAACAATTTATTGTATAGGATATTAGGATGAAAATTGAATTTATTCCTTGACGATTGTTCATTGAATCTCGAGGAAGACCTACATAATGTGATTTTATACAAAACGGGTTGAATATACATATGAGGGTATTTGAGGTAAGCAAGTAATACATTTTTTTTTATTTCCTTTGCACATGGCAGGATATATTCATGTATATGTATAGGTATTCCTTTAAATATTGTGCAACAATTATCTGGAATTATTAAATTCAGAAGCTAAGTTTACTGGTATGCATTTCGTTTGATATTTCGGGTAAAACATGGATGCTTTCTATTATACAAATATGTATAGTCTCATTAATGTTGATTATAGAATTGAATTACTTTATAAAAAAGGTAATTTTTATGCTCACCATGCAGCATCCATGAAGTGGAATAGACATGTTCTTTAAAACGTAACAAAAAAAGATTGTTTCTGTTTAGAACAAATTTCTCTCAAGCACAATTTAAACAAATATAATATTTTGCATCGTATTTTAATCTTTCGTACGGCTTTATTAAGGATTTTCTGACGAAAACAAAAATCATACGGTTTACAGAATTCATCATTTATCCATATCCCCAAGTTAATAAACAATAAGGAATATAAGAAATACAATAAAACGTATGTATGGAACGAAGTAAATCACGACAGTAAAGGAAGTACATGATAAACATTTTCTCCGATGTTCATTTCAATTTACTCACCGTCTTTATTCATTCCCATCTGCATACATTTCTTCAAACGGCACGCTTGACACTGATTTCGGTGAGCTTTGTCCACGATACATCTCCCAGTACCAGCTTGACATCTGAACATAAAATTTTTCCAAACATATAAGAATGTCCTGATGATGAAGAACCTTCCAAGAACATCGTGTGACATTAATCTAGATGAAAGAATAGCGAAGAATATCTATAAATTTATTAAAACACACATTTAATTTAACATCATTTAAATAATTTCATTGAACATAATTCCTTTCATAATAAAATTCAACAATACACTTAATAGTATATTTTCTCCATATGACAAAAGATTCGAGTTCTTCTCGCTGTCGAGATCAATCGATCCTTGGCAATGACGTTTCATCGACGATCACCGTAATTTGGTGATTGTTGTCCCTTTCGAAAAGGCGACAAATTTCGAGCGCGTTCGCCGGAAATCCTGGCCGCGCACTCAGGAGGTGGCGTTAAATTCGATTACTTTCATTGTTCAGTTAACCTGGTTATCCTTTCGAGCTGACTAACGTAAAGAGGCGACCGCTCGGGGTCACGTACTTTCCTCTCATCCCTCTTAATTTCATCCAATCCCGCGGCAGTCTCACAATGCTGCGTTTCTTAGGGGAGACAGTCGGCTGGCTTCCTCTTTCCATCTTTATCCCGCTTCACGACGTGGAAATTAACGCATAGAGTTCGTTTCAGTTATCGTGCCAACTTGTCACATGCTGTACTTTCGATCTTCTCTTCGCAAACAGCTTTCCTTTTAAATTTATATTATTTATTGAAATCGAACACTATACATTTTACTGAACGTATGTTTTTCCTTTCTTTTAGCAGTTAATAAACAATTTAATTGACTTTACACGTACTTGAATTTAGATGAAAGTTCTTTATCCTATCGGTAATCAACCAGGCTGAAGTCAAACACTTCTGATTTTCCCATGCCTCGCCATGAATGAAAAAAGGTGTGTACATTAGTAATTCGATGGTAATAGCTGGGGGCTTGATCGGGGCGTTCGATCGATTCTCAGTTCTCTGTTAGCGCGATTTTAACTAACGTCACTCACAAGGAGACGGCACGACGCGGTGGTCTGATCCAGCGGCGTGACGAAACGACGCTACCGTGTCCTGGAACTATCTTGTCCCGAGGCGGTGTAACACGAAGGGCATCGAAGGGTGCCTGCGTGCTGCCCTGCCAGCGGGGTTCCACTCGCAAATTGATTTGCGTTCACACCCCAGCGAGCCTCCGCTGTGTCGTATCTGGCCCCCGTGCATCGCGGGGGTTACAACACACCCTCGGCCGTCCGCGGCATTCACCCTTCAGAACCACATCATACATTTATTTACGCATCTCTCTATTCTACTACCAACCGGCATTGTTTGCTTCATCGAGTTACCGGAAACATGTGCTCCCTGTTAGCCCGAAGATCGCGGCTACGGATGATTTAATGACTCAATCTCTTAGGCGACATCCGGAAATTCGTCAAGGATTAACAAGTTTTACTAAATTACTTAATGAACAAGACAACAGATGTGGAGAATCAGAAAAATGTAATGAATACCGTGGCTGAATGTCACTTAAATTGGAAAATTTCAATTTTCTTGATGACAAGATGATTCATACAGATATTCAATTTTTGTACGTGTTAGTACCTTGCATCTGTTTCCGATTTCAATGGTAGTCTGTCGCTAAAGACTTCGTCCAGAAGAATCACTCTTTTATCGTTCATAATAAGGCGAACGCTTGATCCACTCCGCGCAAGATTCAAGTATCGGCCCGGTGGGAGTTGGTGCGAACTTTCCACGCAATCTGTGTCGTGTACGATCCACTTAATTGCATCTAACCGATCCGTGAAGTTGGACTTTAATCCGTCCATGGTCGATGCGCGGCTCGGCGTGGCGCATCACCTCGGGTCGCATCTGTCGCGGTCTGCTCCCCTATTCGAGTAATTGGTTATCTGTGCGAAGGCTCTTCACTCTTTACCGCGTTATGGTCATTCGACAAGAATTGATAGCGAAGAATGGAAAAAGTTGGTTGAATGGAACCCGCTGTTGAGTCGAGGCAACACGTGTCGCGTATGGTCGATCTTCGATCCGGTGTATAACATTAGATCAGTGTAAAAGTTTGTGCTCCATTTTTAAAAATGGGATTATCACAAACCTATCTATTTACTTATCACAACTATGACTCTCGTCTAATCTAAATTAAGCAGAGTAGGAAACAGGGAAGGGAATGCTTTAAGTATGTATTTCTCTTGCTTATAAGATTATCAATGGTCAGATTAATTGATAATGTCAAAATTAATATTTTGCTTGTAAT